CCCCTGTCTATAACTGCCTTTATACTTACCTGAGGTTTACCTTGATGGTATATGTCAATCAACGTACCTGTCACTGGTCATATCTATCAAACTGAATACAATTCTAATGAATTACTTTACACGGATATACAATTAAATTAACAGTCTGAGACGATGTTTGTTTCACTTTTCGGGAGTGGTTGATTAATTGATTGAAAATATCAGCATGAATAATATCGTCCGATCAACACGGAAATCTCACACAAGCGTTGTTACAAAGGTTTAACAATTGTCACGTGATTAAAATATAATAGAGAAAGTTTTACCAACGCTCGGGACAACTCGGAACTCATCGTTGATGCTTAAAGACAAATCTAGGAACCGATGAATCACCGTAACAAAAGGAAACAAGAAAGTATGAACACCAATGAATGAGTTAAAGAAAACATAACTGTTTAAAGGTTGTGAAACACAAACAAACCAAATCATATCCACTTACAGATACAGGATAAAACCACATTTCTACATAAATGTGCTGCACAATGGGGATTGAAAATCAATATTAGAAAATCAAAAATTATGAAACTCAACATCACCAATCCATTGCCAGTTATGATAGATGATAAGTACGAACACAAATGGAAATCTGGACAGTTCAGCTGGTACAGGTGGTTGAGTCGAGACCGATATACAAGCCCTGCTTTCAAAGGCAAGAACCGTATTGGAGATCAGGAAAATACACTATCAAAACAAAATCTTCAACAGCTGCATATTACCAATACACCTATAAGGATCTCAAGGCTAACGCATGACCTTGTCAACTTTCCAAACACAAAGTATGCGAAGGTCCGAAGAATCTTTTGTCCTTGTACCATATCAGACCAGTACCGCGTCAACAGATGTCAACATGCATGACGATAGTGGCACCATATTTATGAGGAGGCGACATAAATTGTTTGGCCTTATACTGAGAAAGGACTCTAACAGCATAACAAAAATCGCCGTCTTCTGGACATCTGAGGTTAAACGTTAAACATTTTATGATGACAAAGAGCGTGCAATAGAGACCGAGATGAAAGAACATCAGAAAACATGGGTGAACATACAAAGAATGGCCAACAACGACAGGAGTAGAGAGACTTCGTTGTTGCCCCACAAACGTTCGCTACGGTGCTGTAATCACAGCCATATAACTGTAAAACAACTAACATTTTGTATGTATCGTTATGCGCTGCACTTCATAAACCTCTTAACGCTTTGTCACCGTTACGTACGCTTCAAATAAGAATATTCTACATAAATCTTAAAACTGTTATGCAATGAATTTGCCGATTTTTAAACAATTGTCATAAGGTTAATCTGCATATAATTTGCATATATTGGTGACGTTAGGTTAATGATTTATCATGAAATTAGCCAATTTATTACAACTGAATGATAACCTTACACATTATATCTTAAATTGTGGTTACTCTTCAAAATAAAAGCAATAAAAAATAAAAAATAGAAATGGCTTGGAGCAATGAATTAAAAAAACAATTTCAGTATAAAAGAAAACGTCTATATTTACTAGAACGAATGTTTGACTGCGATAAGTAAACTTTATAAAATTTTATAAAACTGACATAACTTTTTATTGATATAATCATCATAACATTATTCAGGCTGTAAAATTGTTGTATTTTACAACCAAGATGACGAAGATTAGCCCATAGATACACAAGTACATTTCATGTATCCTCAATAGTGAATGTCAAGTATCAGATAAGTAAGAAATTGAAACGTCTTGTTCGTGAAAAAATGATTTAGACAACGATGATGCAAATCCGTATGATGCATATTTTCAATATTATGTGACGATTATTGCATTCACTTCTAATGCCCTTTTTTAATAATACAGTAAAACCTTGATATAATGCCCTTCGTTTCATTTGCCACCTCGCTTACCATCAACATATGTCAAGGTCTCTTTTTCCTTTTTGCTTAAAAATTCCTTTGTACGTTTCCCTAAATTTATCGCCAGACCCCCTTACAATGCCAACCATTCTATTGACAAACGGTGGCATTATAACAAGGGTTTACTTTACGTTTTGTATGGTGTTATACATTTCAGTTGTTGCACACTATAATTACATACTGGATTTCTGCCTCATGAACACGTTGTTCCGTGTGACGAATCAGATACAAAATTTACAGAACCCCGAAGTATATGGTAAAATTTATTTGCCTGTGAACCTTGACAATGCTTTGTACAATAGCAAATGACATGCAATCGAATTTAACATATAGAAACAAGAATACATGAAAAACGACATGTGTTCATAAATCCTCTTGATTCATAAATACAGAGTACGAAACCTTACAGAAAGAACTCCATTGTGTTACGATATAAAGGATGACCCTAGCGTTAAATGACTGACAGCTTGGCCCCGCCCATCTCGTGAAGTGAGATTGAGAAACCGCAGCTCGATTGTTTTTCAAGAGATGCGGAATGGGGGAAGACTTCCTGGAAATCTACCGTCTCCTCAACATTTCCTCTGACGCACGCAAGGTAGGCAATCAATTATAAATAATCGATCAACATTGTGACATACTTTTGAACCTTTCATACGTTTTTGGTGTATACAATTTGACAATAACTGATGTCGATTATGTTAATGTTGCACTTTGTTCAGGTCGTCCATCCACCTTTCAACTTATATTCCAAACGATGATTCAAATATGCATTATACTTACCTTGTTATGTTAAACCTTACATGTATCTTGAATCAATTGAGCATTAGTAGGGTTATGTCCTATAGCAATTTTATTCTATTATTCACTTAAACACTGTTCTACGAACATTGCAGGTATATTTTGTATCAATCTGTTAAACATATCGACAATCACTTGTTAAACTATGGAGAGCTAAACATTTAATCAAAAAGTCGGCGTCAAGCAATGCAATTATATATTGAATGTCTGCCTCATTGTGTGTACATTGGCAATTTATATACGTTTGAAGAAAATTATGGAAAAAAATATAATTAAATCAAATCAGTGACGTAATGCTTACTGTGTTAAAATAACAGAAATAATAATACTGTAAACGTACTGATAATAGAGCCCTAAAATTAAAGCTAATTATCTTGTTTAAAGAGATAGACGCATTGATGAATTGCTGCACCAACAAAATCCGCAATAAAGAAATATTATAGAAACTTCTATCAGCGATTTCATAATTTAGCGAAAAATTTAATGCGCGAAAATAACATAAATAAGACTACCGCTTAAATATATATATGCTTACAGTATTGTCAGTGCTTAGTAGCATTGTACGTATTGTATTGTCCTAAGTAGCATTGTACGTATTGCATTGTGCTAAGTAGCATTGTACATATTGGATTGTGCTAAGTAACATTGTACGTATTGCATTGTGCTAAGTAGCATTGTACGTATTGCATTGTGATAAGTAGCATTGTACGTATTGCATTTCGCATATATACTTTACCAATATAGACCTTTATTTCTATTTTGTTTTGAAATTCATAAACATTGAGGGAATTTTTACATTCCTCCCCTTCTGTTTCGACAATAGGTTAGATCAATTTGGTTTTTTACCTTTTTTGCCCTTACCATCACCGATGAGTCCTAGAAGGACGAAACAGCGGTATGATGCAATGTTATTCATTTTTGGCAAACTATATCTATTACCAAATTGTATAGGTATAATCACCTCTGTGTGCGTTACGTTCATCGGGTATGGTTCTTTACGTCATAATCAATTATTATTATCAATCGAAACGTAATTCATATACAGTATTCACTGAGAATTTTGGATTCCGACGAAACTTTTTAAGAATTTGACATACATGTAATGCTATAATTAGCGGGTAGACTTTGGAGTCATAGAAAATAGTTGCGGTTTCATTATGTGATGAATATGCAGGTATTATTTTCTCGTTATATTTGCACATGCAAATTTAGTGAGTCATATTACTATAATCACTCGAGACAGGTAAATTAATTAATATTACTTACAAGATGGTAGTACAAGTTACCTTTTTTTGCAGTAATCAAGCTAAAATGATACAGGTCAATATTTAGTTTTACAGTAATCGCGCCAGACTTGTTCAGGTAAACAAGTAATCCAACGAAGGTGATGCAGGTTCACTTATCTTTCTTTCAAAAAAGGTAAAGAGTCTTAAGAATCTAAATTTCTCGAATTAATGTATTCACGTGTCACTGCAATAAAAAAAATCGTGTGCGCATATATTTGCGCTGATTTTGTAACCACAAATTGGAGACTAGTTTTTAAAATCTGGTTACAATGGTTAACTCACACAAATATATATATATATATATATATGTACATGTATTTAACATTTAACGAAAATGAATAAGGTTTGGTGCATAGTAGGATGTAAAAATAAATTTATAACGACTCTGTAGCAAACGGGGACATTGTTTCTACACTGAAGCCTAGAGCTGACCTGCTGTGTTACTAATATTTCAAAATTTATATAATGATTTGATTACTAATTTTGACGTCACATTTATAAATCTTTCTGTTTCATTTACCATGCGTATAAAGAATAAATGTGATTGGCGCGTATTTGATATCTGCCTGATATTCCTTTTCATGTTGCTTTCTCTTTGTTTTCGCGGTCAGTGTTTTTGAAACGAAACTAATTATTATGTATCTGATGAAAAGAACTATACAAAGAAAAGATGACGATAGAGTTAATGTGGGAGGAAATTCAGAAATTATGATTTATTTCTATCAAAGATGACATCTTATCAATGTGAGTGAGACTGGTTTTCTACAAGGAAGAGACCTATTTCTAAATTTAGTAACTGTCAATCAAAACGATGGCCTGTATTGTTTGATGGTAATTAACATATCGATGGCATATGAATCTAATTAAATGTCACGTCGATGGGCGTGATTATGTTGCCTCGTTGATTTACATGTGACATCATATTGTGTGAAGTCTACTGTGTATTACATTCATTCATTATAGGTTTTGGATATTAACAAGTGATGACGGAGAATATCTCTGGGATATACACTGATTTTTTCTCTCGCTTCTATATGATATACTGCATGAAATAAGATGATATTTTCATATATTTCAAGTTATAAAACATAATCTTTCTTGGACGTTGACTACATCGCCACAAATATTGAACGTCATAGGATTGTCAGGAAATTACTGGTGTGCGATTTTTAAAAATATTGTTTTCATTGTTGTATTGGTAGAATTCAGGCACGAGACCTTAACATGAATGGATACTGGATACTTGGAGGTGTCTGACACACAGGTAGAGTACACAGTAGTACATTTGATTGCATATTGGTTCCTTGTTATTTCACCGTATTCATACATATGTTTCATGACTGTGTAGATTATATTTATTCTTTACTCTCTAAAACGGATAAGTTGGCACCAAACCCAAAAAAAATCAATCTGACTGTAAAATCTCACAGTATTCAGAAACATTCAAGGAAATTATAGTTTGTTTTAAAAAGGAAATAAATACAAATAGGAGATAACAATATGAATAAAATTTTGCAGCCTGTAGTCGTGATGACCATTTCAATCAAATAATCAAAGTAACCAACAAGCTAGGACGGATACATCAAGTTAACGTAAAAAACATAAGAATATGAATGGTTTCGAAGAATTTTACGCAAAAACTGACAAGCTTAGTATGAACTTGCGTCAGAGTTAAACGATTCCTACAATTAAATCTAAAGAATCAGTTTAGTTGGAATTTGCGTAAGTATGATTTCGTAGTATTCCAATAAATGATGTCTTCGTAGGCGTATATACCTGTTACATGGGAAGTTAAGCAAAACAAAAAATCACCAAAACATTGCAGTCTCATATAACTCTAACCGCGTGGCTGCCTTTAGCCGAGAGACTATGAATGATGATGCATCTGTTCGCGTGTAATTCATTTCGCTGAAGCACTGTGAGCCTATAAAATAGTTCACATCTCTTAACTTTTATTCTAACTATATTTTGTTTTCCTTGCAGTTCTTCGACCTACGTTAGCCATGGATTGTTTACAGCAATGGATCCATGTGTTGTACTTTGTGTTATTGGGATGTATCAGCAGTATTCCTTGTGTGAACTGTTATATGCAACATAATTCTGTGTACTCGCCGACACTGGTGCCCCAACACATTCACAACATTTTTATGAATCCTACAATGGGTCCTCCATTGACCACAATGAATCCAATTTTACCGACAGTGACTCCTCTAATGCCGGCTGCAGTATCCGCAATATCCAGTGCGTATCCGCGCCAGTTCTTCAACGTTGTGCCACGTCGTCGGACGTTTTCCCCTATTTCAGTTCGTCCTGTAAATATTAAAAATGCCATAAGAAGTCCACAAAGTACTTTGTATCAGACATTTAGGAGACTAAATTCATCGAGTCTGTCGAAGATATACGATATCTTAAAGAACCAAATGGGCACATCCAACAACCTGCCTGTTATTCAGACGACTCCTTCGAGTCGCTCAAATGTGGCAATGAACGTTAACAGTATACCAGGTCAGTCCTTCATGGTGATGCCCAATACGAAAGACCTAATAACGAGTGAGGTTGCACAAAACTCTGTGTTTCTTCAGCGTCTTGTTGGACAAAAGCAGATTGGCAGTTCTACCGCCAGCCGTCTTGGCAGAGAGATAAAACAGATGAAGCAAACACTGTTAGCATCAGCACCTGCTGAACGACAGACGGGACAACAACAAGAACAACTCCTGCTTCAGCTGCGGAAGCAGTTACAAAACCAATTGTCTATGGTAGAACCAGAACCAGCAGTCAATACAGTTAAGAATTCTGTCGGTGCTCCATCCAGCAATGGAATCATATCTTCGAATTCTTTATTGGATGCACCTCATAGCATGGTAAGCCAGCCATTTAAAGACTAGCCTATCATAGTCTGGAAAACACATTGAAAATATGTTTCTTCTTTTAAGTCACATTTTACTTCGTGCATGTCATAATTGTTTAACGTTATCACCGATGTAGTCCATTGAGGATGCCTGTCCCACTGCAGGCGAATGCAATGCAGTTTTTCTTACATTCAGTTGCCTCCCCTTAAATTTAGATTTTATATATAACTTTGGCACGACTGGAACAGAGTACTTCTGTTTAACCTTTTAACGACAGTAGACCATAATGGACGCATCCATATCAATGCATGGTAGAGTCTACTAAGGTTACATAGGGGTGAAAGGGTTAACAGTTAAATCAACTGCTTAGAGAGACAGTAGAATGGTTTGGAGTCTAGTGTACGAATCCTGCTCTGGTCCCAAGGCATTTTTACCCCTAGTACAATGTTGTGGATTATATTTTTGTTTATGTTATCTTAGTTTTCATAAATAAAGGTTCCTAAACGTATGATTATCTTATCAGAAATTATTTATCAGCGCTATAATCATACCAGGTGTTTCTAATGTATTATTATAACAGTTTTTGGCAGTGTTTCATGGATCCTTAATGAAAATTCTAGTGTACTGATATGGATAATTTGACAGTTTACGTGCGGAGCGCACGAGTGAATATATACGTCCGCGCAATAAATGAGTGCTTTCTGATTCGTTAGAAAAACGCAAGTGTGATCTTGCTTTTATCACATACCTTCCGTATTTGGTAGTGATCGAAACAAAGATTTTATAAACTTTGATATTTTTGGCAAATACCGGGAACTTTTCAGTTCGCCATGACAAGGGGATTCTCATAAAAAGTAGTTCAGACTAGCAGGTAAATACAACATTCCGTATTGCACATGTGCAATACAGAACGTTGTATTTCATGGTCTGAAAATTTCTTGTATTACTATAACAAGATTCAACAGGTATGTGATAAAGTGATGTAGAGTGTGACAGCATGTCTAGTATTAACTCGATCTGATGAAATAGGTGACTGACTGTCACGTGGTTGTCAATCAAAGGTCCACGTGTCACAATGATGTAACACATACTTATAACAGCTGTCCCATAGATCGTTTGATATTACAATATCCTTCAGTTCTCATTGAGCAAAGTCATGAATACCCTTTTGATGTAGCCCATATCAATTTTTCATTATTACATATTATGCTAAAATATGTATACATATGTATTTGCGTAGTAGAAGTTTGATATTGGTAAATCAATTATAGAAACTGTGCCATATTATCAAAGCTATGGTTTTACAATGTATGTAGTTATAAATATAAATATATATGTCAAAATTTCCTGTGAATACAGCATATCTGTGGAATATTTGTTTTATTATAACAATATAAATAGCAAGATAAAAATGCAAATGAATACAGACTGTTTATGATATTATATATTATATGTGTATTAAATGTTATAACAATGTGTTTAGTTGTTGATCAATGTTTACAACGAATACAGCATATCTGTGGTATCAACGGTATATTTGATGTAATATAATTCAAAGTTTCATATGAATAAAATATATATTTTTTGTCAACTCCTTATTATAGTATTAAATGCATCTATGTCAACGTTTAATGTAACTTTAGCTATACAGCGTGCCAACGGCTCTGTGTTATTATGGCCTCCTCTCTAGGTTTATATAAAAAACTTTCAATAAAGTTTATCTTATACGGTACCAATGATATTAACGCTGAATTATAACAAATATAAAGTTATATACGAAACTATCAATAAACCTTCACCTTTAAAATATTTCTATACTATTAACGACATTCTCTTACAATGTGTGCAGTCCTATATTTTATCAAGTTATCCCGATGACATTTTGTCTGTTATCTCACCTGTGATATCAATGGTAAAATAATGTCATTAAACCCAAATTTGATTTACGCGCCGTTACGTAAACTATTCTCTGCTTGACGGAGCAGAGTGTAGTTTACGAAACGGCGCGTAGTTCAAGATATAGGGATCTAATCAGATTGATTGTATACTAATATGCTATATGTATTTATCTATTATGCATATGTATGATAGCTTTGTTTATTTTTGACAGCCGCTGGAGTCCATTGACGAGATGTTTGAAGACATGGCAGCTGATTCAGGTAGAAGTGAGTGTTCTGCTTGCGCTTTTCTTGTCTTTCTTGTCTCTGTGTTATTGTGACAGATAACAGACGGATATTCGCATTACTCTTTAGTTCAAAAGTGTTCATGTTATGTGATACACTTTTAGTAATTTCTGTTTTCGAAAGTGTACCCGGTACATATGTTCGTGGTATATCGCTATTAAAATCAAAATAATCCCATGGTAAACTTTTATGTGATAACCATTTTGATCAGCTTTTGCGACCATGCACTTTTGATTATTTTTGTTTTCAAGTAGTACTTCAATGAAAAATGTCATAGTACAATTTTGATTATAAAAACGATAAAAAGTTGAACACGTTAAATTGTACCATAGTACATATTCGTACAAAATTGTAATGTAAACTGTTCGACTGTCATCTGCCATAGTGCTATCTTCTTCTACAATATAAGGTTAACGCACGTGTTGTAGGGGTTCTGATATTGTAGAATTTCGCTATGATTCCGTAAATTAACTCTGGTACAACTTAAGTTTCATTAGCTTCATTATCCATAATGTTCTTGCCTCTAAGGGAGAAATGGGCACATATCCTCATCCGCTATAATATGAGGAATAAGCATTGTATTTGCTCTTAAATAAATGTGTTTACAGTATATCAGCATGCACAGTACAATATGTGTGTTGACAGTATATGAGTCTTTATAACATTTGTCATTTACACAATGTGTACTTATTTCTACTCGCTTCTTGTGATATGCTAAACTTAATACCAGCGACGCAACAACTCATCCCAAATAACAATTAATAATTGCTTTATATACACTCATTAACACGCAAAAAAATGTGGGCTTTTGTATATCCTAAAATTCAGTGTATAACTTGTATAAAGTGTATATTCGTACTAAATGTAAATGTTTGCATTGGTATATTTTTCATATATATTCTTACTAAAATTCAGTATATAACTTGTATAAAGTGTATATTCTTACTAAATGTAAATGTTTGCATTGGTATATTTTTCATATATATTCTTACTAAAATTCGGTATATAAGTTATATATAGTGTATATTCTTACTAAATGTAAATGTTTGCATTGGAATATTTTTCATATATATTCTTACTAAAATTCAGTATATAAGTTATTTATAGTGCATATTCTTATTAAATGAAAATGTTTACATTTGTCAATTTTCATATCACTACTAAAATTCAGTATATGCATCTGTTTATATTGTATATACTTCATATATTTATAGGTATTAACTGTGTGCATTAATGTACATATCATATTCCTTACTTAATTCGGAGTGTAGAAAATCCTGTATATAGTGCATTTTCTTATTAAAAGTACGTATAGGATCTTTGTATCATGAATAACTAAGTATTATATACATACTAAAGTTAAGTATAAAACCTGTATATTTAGTAAAATGCATATAACATGTCAAACTTTAATATGGGGAGGGGCACCTGTTACATATTATATATTCAAATTTAACGTACACATGGGCATCTTTTAACTATGTACATGTTCTGTATCATTATGGGCATTTGTGGATATTGTAAATGCTAAAGTAAAGTATGGGCATTTATGTACAATATAAACCCTTACTAAAGTAAGGTACATGTATGGGCATTGTGTATGATGCGTGTCCTTACAAAAGTAAAGTATTGACATTTGTGGATAATGTATGTCCTTACTTAAACTTAATATAGTCATTCGTATATAATATATATATATCCATACTAACATTAAATATAGACATAAATATGTATATCCTGTCTATATCATATACCTTCACTAATGTTAGGTATGTATTGGGATCCTCACCATTACTTATACCTCCTAAGGTAGTGATAACCACTTATTAACCTGTTGCATTTTGAATTCAACAACAAATGTAAAAGTCATAACCTATTTTGTAACTCTTGCTGGGTCGTCTAAAAATAATATATCAAATGAATATTGAAATTGATAAAAAAAATCACGAAAAGTAAACAGAATACACATTATTTCTTATCCGATAAAGAGCCAGGGCGAGAGCACCAAACTGAAATAATGTGACTAATGAAATTCTGCTGATTTCACCAAATTCAAGCCAAACACCAATGAGTGAGTAATAGGTAAAGATCAAATCCAAGAGACAATCATAAAAAGGATATGATAAAGTATTCTGTTTTAACACCAAGTCTAAATACCTCATAGAAGACATGGACTTTAAAATGTCCGTTACATTTCTTGAAGTAAGATTGTACTTATAGGTGACGGTGTTTTTTTTCATTTTAGGCATAAGCTTTAGCTCTGACGTTGGGCCAGGTGTCTTTAAGGTAGAATACGACATGCTCATCACACAGGAAGAGATGGAAGAAAAGTACAGGTATGTTATCTAAAAAAGATGCATTGTCCAAAAGTACATATAAGTTGTCTAAAAGTACATGTTTGTTGTCTTAAAGTACAGGTGTGTTGTTTGAAAATACAGGTGTGTTGTCGAAACGTAAAGGTGTGCTGTCTAAAAGTAAAAGTGTAATGTCTAAAAGTACAGTAGTGTTGTTTAAAAGTTCAGGTATGTCGTCTAAAAGTACAGGTGTGTTGTCTAAAAGTACATGTTTGTTGTCTAAAAGTACATGTTTGTCGTTTAAAAGTACAGGTGTGTTGTCTAAAAGTACAGGTGTGTTGTCTAAAAGTACATGTATGTTGTCTGAAAGTACAGGTGTGTTGTCTAAAAGTACGTGTATGTTGTCTAAAAGTACAGGTGTGTTGTCTAAAAGTACGTGTATGTTGTCTAAAAGTACATGTATGTTGTCTAAAAGTACATGTTTGTTGTCTAAAAGTACGTGTTTGTTGTCTAAAAGTACAGGTGTGTTGTCTAAAAGTACATGTATGTTGTCTGAAAGTACAGGTGTGTTGTCTAAAAGTACAGGTATGTTGTCTAAAAGTACAGGTGTGTTGTCTAAAAGTACGTGTATGTTGTCTAAAAGTACATGTATGTTGTCTAAAAGTACATGTTTGATGTCTAAAGGACATGTATGTTGTCTAAAAGTACAGGTGTGTTGTCTAAAAGTACAGGTGTGTTGTCTAAAAGTACATGTATGTTGTCTAAAAGTACAGGTGTGTTGTCTAAAAGTACGTGTATGTTGTCTAAAAGTACATGTATGTTGTCTAAAAGTACATGTTTGATGTCTAAAGGACATGTATGTTGTCTAAAAGTACAGGTGTGTTGTCTAAAAGTACAGGTGTGTTGTCTAAAAGTACATGTATGTTGTCTAAAAGTACAGGTGTGTTGTCTAAAAGTACGTGTATGTTGTCTAAAAGTACATGTATGTTGTCTAAAAGTACATGTTTGATGTCTAAAGGACATGTATGTTGTCTAAAAGTACAGGTGTGTTGTCTAAAAGTACAGGTGTGTTGTCTAAAAGTACATGTATGTTGTCTAAAAGTACAGGTGTGTTGTCTAAAAGTACGTGTATGTTGTCTAAAAGTACATGTATGTTGTCTAAAAGTACATGTTTGATGTCTAAAGTACATGTGTGTTGTCTAAAAGTACGTGTATGTTGTCTAAAAGTACATGTATGTTGTCTAAAAGTACATGTTTGATGTCTAAAGTACATGTATGTTGTCTAAAAGTACAGGTGTGTTGTCTAAAAGTACAGGTGTATTGTCTAAAAGTACATGTATGTTGTCTAAAAGTACATGTTTGTTGTCTAAATGTACAAATATGTCGTCTAAAAGTACAGATGTGTTGTCTAAAAGTACAGATGTGTTGTCTCAAAGTACATGTATGTTGTCTTAAAGTACAGGTGTGTTGTCTAAAAATACAGGTATGTTATCTAAAAAAGGTGTATTGTCTAAAAGTACATGTACGTTTTCTAAAAGTACATGTTTGTTGTCTTAAAGTACAGGTGTGTTGTTTGAAAATACAGGTGTGTTGTCTAAACGTAAAGGTGTGCTGTCTAAAAGTAAAAGTGTAATGTCTAAAAGTACAGTAGTGTTGTTTAAAAGTTCAGGTGTGTTGTCTAAAAGTTCAGGTGTGTTGTCTAAAAGTACGTGTATGTTGTCTAAAAGTACATGTATGTTGTCTAAAAGTACATGTTTGATGTCTAAAGGACATGTATGTTGTCTAAAAGTACGTGTATGTTGTCTAAAAGTACATGTATGTTGTCTAAAAGTACATGTTTGATGTCTAAAGGACATGTATGTTGTCTAAAAGTACGTGTATGTTGTCTAAAAGTACATGTATGTTGTCTAAAAGTACATGTTTGATGTCTAAAGGACATGTATGTTGTCTAAAAGTACGTGTATGTTGTCTAAAAGTACATGTATGTTGTCTAAAAGTACATGTTTGATGTCTAAAGGACATGTATGTTGTCTAAAAGTACGTGTATGTTGTCTAAAAGTACATGTATGTTGTCTAAAAGTACATGTTTGATGTCTAAAGGACATGTATGTTGTCTAAAAGTACGTGTATGTTGTCTAAAAGTACATGTATGTTGTCTAAAAGTACATGTTTGATGTCTAAAGGACATGTATGTTGTCTAAAAGTACAGGTGTGTTGTCTAAAAGTACAGGTGTGTTGTCTAAAAGTACATGTATGTTGTCTAAAAGTACATGTTTGATGTCTAAAGGACATGTATGTTGTCTAAAAGTACAGGTGTGTTGTCTAAAAGTACAGGTGTGTTGTCTAAAAGTACATGTATGTTGTCTAAAAGTACATGTTTGTTGTCTAAATGTACAAATGTATCGTCTAAAAGTACAGATGTGTTGTCTAAAAGTACTGATGTGTTGTCTCAAAGTACATGTATGTTGTCTAAAAGTACATGTAAGTTGTCTAAAAGTACATGTTTGTTGTCTAAAAGTACAGGTGTGTTGTTTGAAAATACAGGTGTGTTGTGTAAACGTAAAGGTGTGCTGTCTAAAAGTAAAAGTGTAATGTCTAAAAGTACAGTAGTGTTGTTTAAAAGTTCAGGTGTGTTGTCTAAAAGTACAGGTGTATTGTCTAAAAGTACATGTATGTTGTCTAAAAGTACATGTTTGTTGTCTAAATGTACAAATATGTCGTCTAAAAGTACAGATGTGTTGTCTAAAAGTACAGATGGGTTGTCTCAAAGTACATGTATGTTGTCTTAAAGTACAGGTGTGTTGTCTAAAAATACAGGTATGTTATCTAAAAAAAGGTGTATTGTCTAAAAGTACATGTACGTTTTCTAAAAGTACATGTTTGTTGTCTTAAAGTACAGGTGTGTTGTTTGAAAATACATGTGTGTTGTCTAAACGTAAAGGTGTGCTGTCTAAAAGTAAAAGTATAATGTCTAAAAGTACAGTAGTGTTGTTTAAAAGTTCAGGTGTGTCGTCTAAAAGTTCAGGTGTATTGTCTAAAAGTACATGATTGTTGTCTAAAAGTACATGTTTGTTGTCTAAAAGTACAGGTGTGTTGTCTAAAAGTACGTGTATGTTGTCTAAAAGTACATGTTTGATATCT